TTTTAATAATACTATTTATTTATTGGGGTTTTCTTGAATTTGTTTAAGAATAATAATTGTTGATTAAAGATTGACCATGTAGCTGTGAGGTAGATAACACATTTCATAATTATAAATAATATTATTTCTTATATTAGCTCATTCAAAAAATTTTGTTTTCTTTATATAAAAAAACCTGGGAGAACCTTATATAAACAAAAGTTCTAATTAACATGAAAAATACAAATATTTTAGCTATTTTTGTTTCCATTCTATTTACAATAGAAATTTGTTTCTTTTTCCTAATGCATGTCAGGTAATGATGAAAAAACATTTTCCTGAATCATTTTCCAAAATCTGACCGAATGACTATCTTTTTTTACTTTTAAGTAGGATTTCATGGTCGAGCCAAGAACTTTTCAGACCACCTCATATAGAGGGTCTTTTTTTCTCATGGGTTCCTCTCAGAGTTGTGATGACAAATGTCATACAAACTTTATACGTTCTATGAATTTTTCAGTGGTTTGAAAATATATATATATATATATATATATATATATATATATATATATATATATTATAATGATATTTAAATTTTTATGTCAATATTTGGAGGGAAAAAAATGTATGATAAAGTGGAAAGATTTTGCATGATGTGTTGAGTCCAAAGAAGTCATAAAGGATGAAACACATCATCATGTAAACTTTTCCCCCCTCTCTGTGTGTCTCTCTCTCTCTCTCTCTATATATATATATATATAAAAAAACATTCACAAAAAGAAAAGCATATGGAAGTGACCATTTAAAATTTTTTTTTTCTCAGATTAAAAAGAAAATGGTTGTCATAAACGAATGAAATTATTTATAAAATAACAATGAAAGAGAAAAATTATTACATAAGGAACAATTAAAACTTAGTTTTTTTTTGTTTTGTATAATTTGCTGTTCTATAATCCATTCTAAGAACCTGAGTGTACATGTCTTTGTTTTTAGAAGTTGTTTTGTTTCAGAAAAACAAATTTTTAAAATTGTAATTATTACAATAAATATTTAAAGAAAATAGAAATAAAACATTAACAAATGTAAAACATCAGTTTTAACCAAAAGACAAAACTGCTATATTTCCTGTTTTATTATAGAAGGATCTTTTCAGGTTTAAGGTACAAATTTTTTTTTTTTTTTTAAATCTGACACTTTTTTTTGCCTGTTCATTTTGTAGTCTTAGAAGTTTGGCATAAAACTCATCTAAAACAGGTAAGTATATAAATAAGTTTGCAACTAGAAGATGAAAAAAAAAGAAAAAAAAAAAGAAAAATAATAAAATTAAAAAAAAATTATATTTCAACAATAATTTCCTTCCTTGTCAATGCACTTCATCTCTAGTAGTGAATATAAAGGACACAAATCTAGCATTATGCAATGAAAATTTTAGATAAAAATTTAGATTACAGACTTAATGAGCTATCTTATGTATAACAGTCATTTCTCTTAAGCTGATTAACATTAAAATGACAATTCAGTTTAACAAATTCATTTCTTTTTTGTGCAACTGGTCCTATCAGGATATTCCTTGTAACTGACACAATCTACTGTACACATATGTAGTGGTATGTGTGTGAAAATGTATTATAATAAAGATTGTAAAATCATTAAAATTTTTGAGGAACATTCTAATTTTTCATTCATTCTCACCCACAAAATCAAAATATTCAAGTTGTGCTAAGAAGATCTAACAAACACTGACATCTTATCGGATCACTAGTTATACACAAGAAAGAAAGAAAAAAAAAACCCTAAACAAAGTTTTTCCCCTTCCCCAAATTTGCTAGCAAGTTATTGGTTCAGAATACTGTTTGTTTGATCTTTGTTAATCCTCTAAGTATTAGAAAATGTGGAATTATTCATTTCTTAAAAGTGATCATTCATGTCAAGATCCCAAAAAAAAAAAAAAAAAAAAAAAATATGATGAAAATACTGATTGTTTATTATTTCTTTCACCTTAATTGTAATTATCATAGATGATCAGACTATGATCATTAGTAAACAGTACAGATTAGAAATAAAGAATAAACCCTTGAAATACTAGTCCAGAAGTAATGTTTAATAATGCTTCAACAAAAAAAAAAAAAGTTACGATTATTACTACAATTATTACTAACATTAATACACATAAAAATAAATAAAAGAATAACAAAGAGGATGAGTTTAAAGGTGTTACATTTAATGTTTTGCTCACTATAAAAACTTTTGTATTTATCCAGAACAGTCATTACATTAGCTTACTATTAAAATTGCTTACTTAATTAGAGTTGAAAATTTAAATTTTACATGCAGGTTAAAATATTAATAGGTTTGATTATGATGACAAGCTATTTATTTAGTAGCCATATTGTTAGATTACATTTGTACATCATTAAAGCAAGATGCAAATTTCTACTAAATATATTAAATATCCACCCACTACTTCACTAAAATTCTTCCTTATTGCAAATATTTTTATTTATTTTTTATTTTGTTCCTGTTGTTATCAGAATGTTCCAGCCAATCTATTTGTTAGCCTTTGAGAGAGAGAGAGAGAAAGAGACATAAACAGACTCTTCCAAACATGGCTGAAATATAAATCAGTTGAGAAATTAAATCCAACAACACCAAGAATACAAAGGAGTTCAATTGACCGAGAGGAAAAAAGCAGAAATTACAGTGTTAATGACTATCTTGTTTTTTATCTCTTGTTTGAACAGACAATCAAGAAAAAAAAAAAAAAAAGGACCACTCTAATCAAATCATATATAATAGTCATATATATGCTCATTTTGTAGACCATTACTACTATGCAAAGTTCAAGCTGCATCAAGTGCACCTCAACTATAGTGTTGTGTTATTAACTTTAGTAAATAACCGTTAGGCTCATGAAACAAAATAATAAATTTAAATATAAAAACCAAACATGCAAACAACATAGAACACAAGAAAGAAATAAAATACATCTTCACGCATAGTAACAAGATGTTCAAGTAGAAGTCTTTAAACATAATAACCTGAAGACTGAGATCAATAAATGTAGAATCATATTACAAAAAGGTCTATCAGTAGTCATGGTAGCATTGGAGACAAAAAAACAAAAAAAATTTGAAATTGCTCAAGGACAGAAATGAAATGAAAAAAAAAAAAAAAAAAAAAAAATAAGCATAAAAAGTCTTGCAAGTCAGTCAAAGTTTTTAGATAATTTCCAATGTTCACCAGTTAAAAACTGTATTTATCAAAGAAAAAAATTGAATCTGTACCCAGAAATAATATTGTAATATCAAAAACTATATACAATTACAACTTTCATAAAAACGTTTATAATCAAAGTCCTGAATTTGTTTTTTTTTTTTAAAATAGTAGAGCTTGTAGTTTGTTGTCAAATTTTTTTTTTTTTTTTATAATAAAAAGTTCAATTTGGAAAAAAAAAAAAAAAGTTAATTTGTGGTAAATTTAAGGTTTTATCCAATACTCAAATTTAAACCAAGTGAATTTGGATACCTACTATGGCATAACTTGCTAATGCAAGTTTATTTTACAAACCAATTCACTAGTATTGTGAATAGGTGGTCTAGTTATGTAGCCTTGTCCCAGACTAAGCAGTACTTGTTATTTAAAACTTTATCCATTATAGTTTAGTTATTTACCAATTTAAAGAATTATATAAGTTGTTAAAAAAACCCCCAAAAAACCAATGTTTTGAATGAGAATTTTGATTTGAAGAAACCATCAGAAAAAGCACAAGTGAAGGATCATAAAAAAGAAGTTAAATTTGCCATTTTAAACCAATTTAGTCTATCTTCAGAATTATTCAGGAAAATTTAACTATATTGTTGACATGGAAAACAAACTTAGTAAAAAATGAAGTTACCAATATCCAGAAAGGGGTTTATACAGGAGTATATTTTTTTTAAATTTTGGATCTGATATAACTGGCTACAAAATATTTCACTTTCATTGCTTGCTTGATAAAGTGGGAAGACAAAACGTGTCAACAAGAACTAAGAATTTTTTTCCCCAATTGTCAATTTAAAACCATATATTTTCAATTGATAGCATGTAACATCCAGCTAAATTTTATGCATTTTTCTTATAAATATAATAAAGTGTGTGTATGTGTATGTGTGTGAGAGAGAGAGTTTTTCTAACTCAGATAGATGAAATAATCCAAATGAGTAAATCAAAACTCGTGGGAAATATTGTCAACTTACAGGAAAATGATATGCAAACTTGTAAATGTCAGGTTAAGTGAACTGCTCATGGTAAAATTGGTCATTCTGATTACCAGTGAAAAACAAGGCAACTAACCAAACCTATTTCTAATATATCAATAAGTAAAAACCCACCTTATTCAGTGGTGAGCTTAATCACAAGACAAAGGTCTCAGAAGTAATAATGAGAAAAAAAACAACCCTCTTGATAATTGTTAAAATTGGATTCCACAAAAAAGCAATTGATGTTAAAAACAGAATAAAAAGTACCTAAAATATGAAACAAAAAATTTATTCTTTACCTACATTTATTAAAATTTTCTAATTTTGATCTAACTGGAAGAGAATGTCTGACAAGAAAAAGAAAAGTGATTTTGACCATGGCTGGAGAACATAGAAGTTTTATTTTTTCTGCGTAGTTTGATTAAAATTGTAAAAATAAATCAAAAGAGTTTTTCTTTAATTGTATTGGTTCATTCAAAAATATTCATATAAAAAAGGGAATTAAATTTTTAAAAAAATAAATTCTAATTTTGGAATCTTGGGATCAGAATTCTGAAGATATACAAATTTTGCACAGAAAGCATATAAAAATGAAAAAAAAAAAATTAGCTTATTACAGATAACTTCTCCCCAAACTCATTTTGAATTTGGAGATTATATAATTTTTTTTTTTTTTTTTTTAGATAAATGTCAATATTTCAGGTTTACTTCAGGCAAGCCACTGTTGCCACAACATTGTTCATGCTAAAGATAACTCGTTCTTTGTTTATTTGATGTCCATTATCAAGTTGTCTCTTGACAAGATTTTCCTTTACACAGAGAAAGTTTTGCCAGTTCCTGACTCAGTTGTGATACAAACTTTGGGTCAGCTGTTGAAGCAATATTAGTCAATTCAAAAGGATCCTTATTCAGGTCATACATCTCAATGAAATGCTGCAAAGAACAAAATCAAAAATAAATTAGTTTATATATTGAAGCTACTTATTAAGATTGTTAGGAGAGTTGGTTTGTTGTTTTTTGCAGTATATCAACCATTTGAAGGTTATTTAATGCTGAAATCTAAATATTTTGTATACAATTTTATTTTTGGAAATAATGGTTTAGTGACACAAGTTTTACTAATTAACCCATAGCTAGAGAGGAGAAGTGGATTCATACCTTTCCCAAGGGTATTTATACACAAGTGAATCTAACAAACCCAAGTGGAATTGGAACTTGGCTCTCTGATTAACAATTCCAAGCCATTAGACATTATAATACCTGCACATCCAAACTTATAGCACCAAGCAGTCACCCATTTGGTACTGACCAGGCTCAACGCTGTTTCAACGTGATGTGGCTATAAGTAAGATTGATAGGAAACCATTTATAACATTTACTGGTATACAAAATACAATGAAAACTGACTAATATAAATATATCATGTATAAGTGAAAGCTTTAAATGATTAATGAAGTCAACAATCACTTTATATGCAAAAGCAGGGAATAAATATATCTTTAGTCCAACATACATGTAATAGCTGAATCTTGATTTGAAAATTTCATCGTATAATAATGTTCACTGTATAATTAATATTGATTGCTGAAATAACTGCAGGGACCAGGAGATCTTGTTAAAAAAATTAAAAAAACAACTTATTGTATAAAATAAGTACTTTTTATCAACATCATTAGGCTACAGTTATTGGGTATGTGTTAATTTAGAAAACACCAATGACACTTATAACAAAGAGGATATTTTTTTTTTTTTACATAAAACAAACCAAGTTTGTTATATAATTGCTGTTGGTGTTTAATAAACATATGAAGATACAGAATTTAATTATCCACATATAAAATTTTATATAAATTAAAATTTTAAAATTAGAGACAACAGTACACTGGATGTTTTCACTCTTTAAATGAACTTTGCTGGATGACATATGTGTGATGGAATGAGTAAAGAAACAGTGTATGTATGGAAACCATGGGATGCACATAAGATTTAATAGTGTTTGGCCATAGAGTGATTATTAGGACCAGAAAGACTGGGCACGAGATCAGAATGAACAAACAATAAACAGAAAAAAAGATATCATTTGTATGTAAAAGTTTCTAGAACATTTTTATTTCCAAAACAATCTTCTGTCAAGTGGGACAAAGAATGGCTTGTTAAATTTAATACCACCAAAACTAAACTACTCTCTATTAATCATTTGAGAGAACCCTCTTTTCCCTCCATTTGGAGGTCAGCATCAGCCTTTTCATTTCCGTGAATGCCACTGTGGCTAGGTATCCAGTAGAATGTAATAGAATGCCTGTGGCATCTTTTGTGGGTTTCAGTATGGGAATCTCAGTGGCTTCCTTCCAAATTTTGGGGATGTTTCCACTGGTCGATATATTATTGAAAATTTCTAGGAGGAAGTTTGAGGATGCTTCTGGTAAATGTTTTATGAATTCAGAATTAATATTGCTTTGTTTAATGCTTCTTGCATTTCTGTTTTCGTGAAGAGTTGGCTATAGATTTGTTTTTGGATTGAAAGTTGATTTTGTTGTGTTTTTTTTTTTTCTGTGTTAGGCTTGATGGTCTGGAATTCTTTTGTCTTATTTTGTAGAGAGGAATTTTGTGCAAACTTTTCTGCAAGTTTATCAGCTGTGTCTTTCTTATTTGTAATTTTTGCATTATTTTGGATAATGTGTTTGGTATGGTTCTTACAATTTTTCCCTGATATTTTCCAGATCTCAATTCTTTTTTTGTTTTAGTAACAATATTTATTTTAAATATGTATTTTCTCCATGTATTTTGTTTGTATTCTTGAATGGTTTTGCATGCTAGAGCTCTGCTGTTTTTGTATATATCTATATTTTCTTTAGTTGGATTGGTCTTGAATTTTCTTAAGTTTGCTCAACGTTTTCTTATTGCTTTTCTGTATTCGTCATTGAACCATGGTTTGTGAGAGATGGAGATTTTTGGCATGTTTTCTTTTGCAAAAGTATTAAGTATGTTAGTGAAATATGTTATATGGTCTTCATTGTCAGTGTTGGCTTTCGTAACTAGTCTACGTTTACATGAATTTTGAAATTTTTTCCAGTTGGTTTTCTGGAGGTTCCAAGATGGTGTTTTATCTTCTAGTTTAGGGTTCTGGTTTTCAAATATGATGGGGAAGTGATCACTTCCACATGTATCTTGATGGGTTCTCCAATTGTTTGGCTTTTCATCAAATTCTTTTGGTGGTCTTTGTTTTGATGATGATTGTTTTCTTGGTCCAGGTGGGTTCAAGTTTTGTTACTCTGCATCCATTTCTGTTTTTTTTTTTCAGGATTGTGCTGAGTGGGATTACTTTTCGTGTGGGCCTTGAGCTTCTCTTGTGATTGTTTGGAATCTTCTAGTTCTTTTTTTATTTTAGTTTAAGTTTTTGAAAGTGGAATTCTGGTTGTTATTTGTTCTTTTATTGTTTGAAGTTGAAGGGGTAGAACTTGTCCCATGTTAAGCTTGTCTTCAGCAATTTTATTAGTATTTTTTAACTTGTTTATAATGAATGCTCTTCCTGTTTTCCTGCTGAATGATTCTCCTGCATTTCCCTCAGGGAAGTCCTTGTCCTGGTAATACCTGCATATGATGTTGATGATTTTATTATAGGTTTTTTCCTTCTTTCAGATTTTGCATTCTTTAGAATCTGCAGTGTGATTTTGCTTGCAGTTTGGACACAAAGGGGTTTTGTCACAAGTTGTTTCTCTATGGTTCATTTCCGAGTCCCTGCATCTGCAACATATTGGAGTTCTCGTACATCATTTTTGTACGTGGCCAAACCTTTGACATTTGTGACATCCATTGAGGTTAGGGATATATGGTTCTACATTGGTTATTATGTAACCAATTCTAATCTCCTTTGGTGGTATGAAATTATTAAAAGAACAGAATGTATGTGTTGGTATCTATTAGTGTTCTGCTTCTCTGAATTTGTATCTTTTTGATGTTTGTTATGCCATGATGTTTTAATGAAGCATCATTTTTAATTTCTTCTGATGAGCATAATGAGAGATCTAAACTTTTTATGACTCCTTTGGAGTAGTTTAAGAATTGGTGAGGGTATGTTTTTAATTTTATGTTGTCAAACTGTGTTGTCTTTAACAGAATTTCTGCATCTTTTGTGGTTTTTACTTCTGTGAGAAGTGTTTTATTTTTTTGTATTTTTGTGATGGATTTTTGGGTCTTTTTGGATTATAAAGGGGGACAATTTTGTTATGGATTGGTGATGATGATGATGATGATGAAAGTGGGGTATTTTTTTTTTGTTTCTGGTTTTCCATCTTCACTCTCAGTTTCTGAGCTTTCATATCCTCTTGATTCTTTTGTAAGTATTTGCCATAAAATTACTGATCTTTTGTTTCACCATCCATGCTCCCCCACTGCCTTGGAGTTCCTTCTTAGAGGACGTTATCAGGGTGGACATCCCATTCACCCAGATATATCAGGGCTGCACTGACAGTATAGTTGGGGTGGAAATAGCTGCAAGCATCCACATTCCTTCACCATCATTACCCAAGTATAGTGTGGTGTAGAGGCTTGCAGTTGTGTCACGACCATTCTCTTTCAACTCAACTTGCCCTTGTGACTATGTGACTATGTGACCACTAGGATTGGATTGAACTGGATTATTCCATCTGTCCATCTAGCTCCAGATGGGACCAAAGTGGAGTGTTTTGAGATTACTGGTGACTTGCAGGACAAGGTGTAACTCAGTCACCAAGACTCCATCCCAGGGCATTACAGGTTGCCACCCACAGCAAACAGGTGGCCCCATTGGGGTTAATTGACAGTTTTTCGCTGTTTTGGATCCATTTGTAGGGTCTCTAATTAAATGATTTGGCAAACTACAGTTCTTTAATTTTTAGGAGGTTTGTATCTTGTGTAGTTTAAGATCATACCCAGGTTGGTTATTTCAGTTTTTGTAAGTGGATAGTTTGTTATCTGAGGGTCTGTGAATAATCTTATTTTGTGGTCATATAATTTGTTAGCATTAAATTTTAAAGTCTATTTACAGGATCTATTTTGGGATGTGTATAGTTGTTGGTATAGTATGTAAATAGTTCTGTTTCAGAGAGGTTCGCTTTCATAAACATGTTTTGTAGATACAAATTCTATTTAACCCACTCTGACAGGTACCACCACCCACTCTGGGGTCAGAGTGGACCTGGGAGCAAAGCAACTAAAGAGTGACCACACTCCCCAAAGCTCCCAACTGGAATCACCACCAGTGGATGCAGTTTCAAGTCATACCCAGAACCAATAATCAAATGACTGAACAACTAAAATATTTTACATATAAATGAACATCTGTATATATGATGCATCAGAAATCTTAATTTCAGAATTCTTCAAGGCCAGTGAAAATTTTAAACTCTAAACTTGAGATTAAAAATTTCTAAAGCAATTTCAGAATCAAAACAGAGGAGGGGGATAAAGGAAGCAATATCATTACATAAGCTGATACATATTTATAGAACCTATGTTCACCATCATACTGCTGTCAAAATTTACTTATTTGTAATGGAAATCAGTGTTTTACATGAATTTTAATTATATTTTCTACATAAGATTTACTTTTCCCAAAATTCTGCTTTAAAAAAATAAAAGCATCATATTGCTCACATTACTATGAAAGTTACAGTTTGGAGGTGGCTATCAGGTTGAGATAAACTAGAGGAACAATTTGTAGATTGTACAAGAAAATACAATAATAACTGTATTAAAATTATTTTACAATCTACATTAAGTGTATGTTGCAGGATAAAATTTAAAAAAAAAAAAAATAATGAAAAAGCATCTGACTTACATCTTGATCCTCAAATTCACAATACTTAAAGTTTTCAGTTGGTGAGAGTTGTCTCACGCAGCCATATGTGTTATTCCATGAATCTTCACATACACAGTTAGAATCACATGTCTGAATAGATAAATTGGAAAAAATGACTTTCTCAAAAGGAAAAAAAAATTTTTTTCAAAGAAATAATAGCAAAGAATTCAATAATTTTCTTTAATATTGGGTTTTAAAGAGAGAAAGTCATGTAACTTCAACTGTTCATAATGTCAATAAAAAATTTTCAGCATCAAAAGCAAATATTCCACGTGCAACACATTCCTGAGTAATTATTTCCCCCTGTGACCATAAAAATATCCTAATTTATTTTGACCAATATTTTATCAGCTTATGTATATCTGTTAAATTACCAACGAAAGTATTAAAAAATTTGGCAAGCAAAAAAAAAAAAAAAGAAATTACTCATTTTCTTTAGAGGATCAAAAATTCTTCCTTGTATGTTTGGATAGCATATCCATACAGTTTGGTAAGTAATCTTTTCTAGCATTTGGATAAATAATTTAGGAAGTCTAAGAATAAAATGAATTCTATTGGATCCACTTGCTAACATTATCATCAAACTAATCAATTTTCTAAAATAAATACACCCAAATAAATTAATCTGAGGTGAAATAAATAACCAAACCTAATTTAGCATCTGTATAAATAGCAAAATTTAATGAAGAAGATCACTAATCAAATTATATATATATTATTATTATTATATAACAATTTAAATTACTTTTGAGCACTTATAGGTTTGGTTTACTTGAAATAGTGACACCAAGGATTTTCCATCCATGCTGAAGAAGTACAATCAAATTATTGAAACATGAGAGCTTTTGTGTAGCGATTTAAAAATGTTTTTATTATAATCTCTTATAATAAAAATATAATAATATATTGCTCTACTTTGTATTGAGCACTTTTTTAAAAAAGTAAATACTACGAACTGTGGATTTTTACTCCATTTGTTCTGTCATTTGGATATATATTTATAAGTGTTTATTACTTAGCTAAAATAGAGGGATTTTCTGTTTATATATTAAACAAATCACAATTAAAAACAAAAACATTTTCAAGTGAAAATATATAAAAAGGAAAATTATTTTCTTTAATTTGGAGAGAATATTGACATCTAATGTTTTCAACTCTCACCCAATAGGTTTTTAAAAAATAAAAATGTATTTGAACAAGGAAGGTAATTTTACAATATTTTATAAATTATTTCCCTTATCAATGCTTAAATATGTTTTTATAAGTTTACTTTTAAATTTTATTGCTTTCTCTTTTGCACTACCAATATTAATGAGTCAACCTGTTTTCACAGTTAAAGAAAAAAAAAAAAAAAAAAAAGAAAGCATTTTATAGGTGAAAAGAATTGCAAAAATAATCGTTTATATAACATTGGCCAAAAGAAGTAAAGAAATGAACAAGATTTGTGAGCTTAAAAAAGTTCCTCTTTGAGCCACATGCCATACTTCATCAACCATAAAGTTCAAATACTTACAGCTAATCCTTGGTTTTTGTATTGAGGACATTGTCTAATTTCAACATGTGCTTCTCCTTTGTGTTCAATTAAACAATTCTGTCGGAACTTAGGTTCGTTTGTCACATTTCCTTGGAATAGTGGCACCAAGGATTTTCCATCCATGCTGTTTGAGACTGGGATACCCGTCAGGTTGAGAAATGTGGGAGCTAAGTCAATATTCAAAACAAATTCCTGGAAAAAAAAATAGTGTAAAAAAAAAAAAAAAAAAAAAAAAAAAATTTGATACTTATGTATATTAAAACAAGATCACCCACAGAGACTTAATATATATCAAATTAAATTTGCTTTTTCTACATGATCATGACTTAAAGATTGTACCAAACTCATGCACATAATGGAATCTCAAACTCAACCATTAACCAATTTCCTAACTAGTAAACGCTCAAAAGTAATTCAATACAATTAAGCTAGTCACCTGAAATGTATACCAAAAAGTATCAGAAATCTCTGAAATTTCAGACTTAAAAAGGTAATAAGGCTTGTTTCATTTACAACTAATGACTGTTATTCATAAACTGTTTGAAGAGTAAGAATTTTATATTTTCTGTGCGAACAAAATCAAATCAATTTTTTTTATAAATCAGAAAGACACTTACATGTCTTTGTTGTTTGGGCTTAATTCCTGGTCCTCTAACTAATAGTGGCACTCTGTTGTCAAAGTCATACAACTGTCTCTTGTCAAATGACAGTGAAAATTGACCTAGCAAAAAAAACAAATAAAAACCAGAAATCAACATTTTTTTTAGGGTGTGAATAATATTACTTTTATTGCTTTGTATTGCTAAGTACAATGACAATTTGTGTGAATCATATTTAAGAGAATACAAACTGAATTCATAAGGCCCAGTGCAAACTAGCAAGACCATAAGACAGAAACTAACAGGAATCCAATCATTGCTATGTTCAAAAGGATATCTTAAGAACCTACTGAAACAAATTCTTTAAAAAACATACATTTAAATTATTTTGCTGACAACATCCAAATCTTAGGAATATATTATATATAGACTACTCACATTATTACAATACTTGTGATGAATCATCGAAATCTTGTTAAAATTTTTTTACATAGATCTTGTAAAAACAAAAAACTTACCTAAATGATAGCCATTATCAGATGTGAAGAAAATATAAGTATTGTTCAGCTGACCAACTGCATCCAATTGTTTAACAACATTTTCAACAAGGTCATCTACAGATAGCAGAGTTTTCCACCTAGAGAAGCAAGCACAATATGAACTAGTATTATATATCTTCAATGCTTAAGTATGTGTGAATAAGTAAGAAATATCTTACTTATTCACATACTTAAGCATTAAAGATATATAATACTGTTTAAAGAATCTATTTCGTTTTACTAATGAAAAGAACATGAGAAAGGCCAGGGCATTCTCCATCAGAAAAAGAAAGTCTGTTTTGTGCATAAATATTTCTTGCACCAAACAAATTCAACGACAAATAATTAATGACTGGCATCATTACTCATTTTCAAAATTCAAGCAATCATATTAATTTAATTTTAACATACATAACAAAAAAGCGTGATTAAAATCAGAACAAGATTACTGGAGACAGATTCTTCAAGGAGTTACTGTTATTTATCCATAAACTTTAACCGATTAAACTCTTGCATTTTCACATATCCATTAAGTTCACATTTACATGGCAAACATCATTCATCAAGATATATATAATAATCATGGAAAAAACTTCAGATAGTTTGTATTTGATGACCATAAACTGTAGAGGTGAAAGAAAAATAATTTACAATTAACAATGCCCCAAGACCATTTATCTAAAAAGTATAAATTTTTTAAATCATTTTTTTTTATGTTAAGTATACTCAAATAACACATTGAGTCTCAGTGATTTCAATGACAATGAGCCACAACAAAGAAAGCTCAAGGAAAACATTGCCTTTTTTTGGTGAGTGGAATATTAAAATATAGCTGTGAAATAACATTTGTCTAAATTTCAAATATCATAATTAAATACATTTCTTCTTTGGGTTTTAACATCATCCTATGTGTAGACCTACATGCAAGTACTTTTAATTTTCATCAAATTTCTTGCAAGCAGGTATGAGGAGGTCCCAAATGTTTCCTAGATCAGAGTCCCTAGCTGCTTTAATCCAGTCATGGAATTAATACATTTACAAATTTGTTAAAATGGAGCAAAGCACATACCGATTCCTGAAAGTGTCATCAATAAAAGAAATTGTTGTATTTGGCATTGGAGAAGCAGCTTTACGCACCAACCAATGTTTATCCTGGAAAAAGAAAAGGATTGTTTTAGAATTGGGGTATTTCTCTGATTTGAAAAGGAATAAATTCGATACAACTATATTATTTGAATTTCTTCATCAATTTCTACAATAAAATAAAGAAATACCAGCAGTTTTTTTTATTACCTTTGATAACACTAATATACATTTTCTCCTATCCAACATCATATTTCTTTCATACATGTGTGAATTTCCATCAGCATGCAACTTTCTTGTGCCCAAAATTCTATCACTGATTTATACTTTAGTAACATGTTTGAATTACATATGACAAATAAATATTATTAATCAATGCTAACACACAGTAAACTGACACCAACCTAACATGAATAGGATTTTATATATACAGATTCATACATGTTTCTATCACCACTATTAATTATACCACATAGAGTCCTTATTTATCAAATGAACCCTTGTAACTTGCCAAGTAATAGCAGTGGTCCTGGAAATTACCTTGGTAGAAAACAAAAATTATTTCATTCAAAATCAAAATATTCACAGAATTGAATAAACAAGAGACAATATTTGAATAAAAACGTGATATGTAAATAAATTTTGGAGAGGTTTTACCTTTGAATGTACATTGAAACTTTTGTCTCTGGGAGCTTTTTTGTTTGCAAACTCTTTGCTGTACTGTGGAGCTGAAGTGAATGGACTATGGGGCGCAGGAGTAGCTAACATCATAAAGAATGGATTTTTGTTGATATTTTGATGCTGGATGAACTTGACAGCTCGACGGCTCTGTTGAGAAAAATGTAGAACACACTTGGTTTGAAATTCTGTTAAAGAACAAGAAAAAGCTGATGGCATTTTGAGGATATTTTATAAGGATAGATTTTAGTGCCTGAAAAGTGAAAAATAGTAATCAGGTAAAAAAAAAAAAAAAAAAAAAAAATTTCATTTTGCCATAGATGTTCCTTTGGATAAAAATGGTATAATTTGACTTAACTTTAACAAATGTACAAGTATTTTGTACATTAAAGTGCAAGAGTTGGTTTTAGCAAAAGTAAATATACAACTCAACTTGAGCAAGCAAGCAAAAGTAGTTTTTAGTTTTTCATGTGAAGAAATGTAGGAAGTGGACAATGTAAAGTCACCTTTGAAGTGGGGCTGGACCTTATTGAAGTCGAGAAGATAGATTTTTTTTTTCTTTTTTAATCATTTCACCCCATGTGTGGCAACAAAGCTACTAAGACACAGGTGGTTATTGAGTGTGAAAGAATCAGTGGAAGAAAAACATTATTAAGGGTAAGAATAAAAGCAAATTAAGAGAGAAGATAATGATTTAAATTTTTGAAGATCAAACTTGACTGGAAAGCGAGAAGCTGGAAGAGAGTTCCACAAGTGAGAAGTGCAAGAAAAGAAACTGTTAGCATAGCACTTATGGTTACATCTAGCCATTTCAACTGTAAAATGCTGATATCTTGCCACAAATTTAGTACTGCACTAAAATTCATAGAATCTAGGTATCATGTTTATCAGAACAATCACCATGAAGATATTTATAGAAAAGGCATGGGGAAGCTAGATTATGGCAGAGGAAAAGTGTCTGAAGAGTTCTTTTTGCATGTAATTATGGGAGAGGGGTTTACACCAACAATTAATTTACCCACATTTCTTTATTGGTCATACAAGTGGCAAGTCAGTGAAGATAGTCAAGTGCAAGAAGTGAATTTATATCTTCACCAAGAGCAATTGTGCCATGTTAACCAAAACAACTATAGATGCAACTGAAATTGTTTTAAATTTGTTTTCCCAATACAGATTCAATCTGCAAGTCAACAAAGATTAAAAAGAAAAGTTCAACTTACAATGAGGTCAGTGAGGTAGTCTGCTTTATAGGAATCACCGTGAGATTCAAGGACACCATTAACAGAAAGGCTATAATTATAATACACAGAATTTCCAACCTGCAACGGAGAAAAAAAATATAAGAGAAATCAATTTGAGATCAAGAAGTAATTGCCACTGCCAGATGGGCATACATTAGGCAATTTATCAGCAATTTCATCTGCTTCTAGTAAGAGCAAAAATATTAATCATATTTCAAATATTTCAATCTTATTCCAACTGATGCATGAATTGTAAAAAAAAAAAAAAAAAAAAAAAATGTTAATACATTTTTTTTGGTTTGTTTGGTATTGAGGTCAGCCTTTTCAGTACATATAAAACTCAGAGACTGATAGAAGCTGGTGAGGTTAAGGTCTTGAGTATTTGTTTTTTCAGTAAAGAATCCACAATAAATAAATTTAAAACTTTATGGAAATCATTTTTCTCCCATATTTCATCCAGAAATACATATGGACAAATATTTTCATAACTATTTTTAGCGATAGTGAAATGAGGGAAAAAAAAAAAGAAATAAAAATTGCAATTTTTTTTTCAAAAAATTTTTATTGCTTAACTCTTGAGTATTCAACACGCTCAAACCTGTCCCATAAATACTGGCTCTTGAATTCTCAATTTTTGTGATCAAAGTCTCACTGTTTGTGTGACTTCATGCATTATTTGTGATAATGCCGTCATAGCAGAGTATACATGGGGTAGGTTATCACAAATTGAACATTGAGAGTTGATATTTACAGAGTTGGTTGAATTCTAAGAGCTGAACATAATTTATGAACTCTCAAAATGTATCATGCTAATTGACCAAATGCACAAGACAAAACTTAGCTTTAAATTTAAAAATAAGTTATTTAGGATATTTTTTTCAATATATAATAATAAAATATAATAAAAAAAATTCAGGATTTTAAGTTTACTGAAAGCAAAGATGCATTCTATTTATTGAATAAAAAAAAATTACTGAGAGTAATTTTTTCTTCATCCATAGTTTTTCATACATATGGTCAGTGCATGTAGCTGTTTCTACACTGTGGAAAATCTTGCTATTACATTCTATGTCAAGGTCAACTGCAACATATTGGAGTTTAAAAATTTTGACAGTTCAAAAATTCTTTGCAAATTATTTTAGAGCAATTTCTTTAACATGGTTAAGAAGCTGTTCATTGAATGCCTCATCTGAAGGTGTGAAGTCTTTTCAGATTTATAAATTGATCAAATTGTTGCTCAGTTCCTCTAAACATGATTCTTATTAATACTTCAACATTTGCTTCATCTAATTCATTAAAACCAAGGTCTTTTCTCATTGTTGTGATTTCCAAAGCAAGTTATTTCATTTAATTAGAGAATCCTACAAAACCATTGGCACATTGTGGCAGGATATGGATTCAGTGATTGAAATATGGCACAAATATTATCAATTGCAACTCAATTCTCTCTGTATGGTACTTTAATTATCTATTTGAATGTTTTCCTAAGGTAGCAAGCCTTACAAGTAGCCATTATGCCCTGATCCATAGGCTGTAATTGAAGACAGTATCCAAGAGAAAATATTTCTATTTTTTTTTTACTGAAGTTACTGAGAACAGAATGTCCAGAATTAACAATGCTTTCAAGTCAAGATTTTCTTTTTAGCAATCATATTTTGAATTACCATGCTAACTGAATTTTGGGATACACTTTTCTATTTTGGGGTTATTAAAAAAGCTAGCAGCTCAACCTAAAAAACAGTAATCAGAACTGCATTAATCAGGGATTTCCAGTATTCATTTTGACTAAGACCACACACTTCTCCTAGCTTTATTCTATACCTAATTTTCATTGTTGCTGATATGAAATGTATAATAATTAATTAATATTATTATTCTAATAACAACTATAATAATAACAATAATCAGAATTATTATTGTTGTTATTGTCTCCTGTCATTTTGTTCATACCCTGGGATGGGACATTAGTAATTTGCATATGTACTTATCCTCATACATTTTCAGAGTTACAAAGTTGATGGGTTCTGCATATTTTTGGGGGTGTCAACTTTAAGGTGTTCATTGAGATTACATTCAATGGACAACTTCAGGTAGACATCCTGGAAAAATATCCACAATCCAATGAACACTTCAAACACATGAAGATAATTATATATGCAAATTACTATCAACCTACCATAGGGGAATGAACAAAAATGACAAGAAAGTTCCTAAAGATTTGTGCTAAGCTATTTGATTAATTACTCTTAATAATGGAAAATTTCAAGATGAGCATGACCCTCATCATGATACTCACGTTTCAGTTGCATTCATGTTGGCTCTGTTTCAATCACTTTATCACATTGATTACCAGTACAACTATTTTTCTCAAGACAAGCAATGTTTGTACAAAAGGTTCATATTTTTTTTTATACTTGTATACAATTTTTAAACTTAACTTGAAATTATATATTTGTAAAATATTATATACTATTATACTGTATGCAATTTTTATAACATAAATTGAAGACAGACCGACTGTTTGAACATTTTTAAATATTGTATCTTTTCTTTTTCTTTAATCATGCTCTTCTGAGTTTTGCAAAATATTGGAAATGTTACTAATTTCTTTTTTTTTTTTATTATCACTTTTGTCTTTGGGCAGAGTGCACTCAGGAGCAGCTCTGTTAAAGGACGGAGTCACAACTGAGGAAAATTATACTAAGAGGTTCCCAGCCCTAGGGAACATCTGCCCGAGGCCATGCCCTCTCATTGCACTAGAGAGAGGGATCAGTGCTCACACCAAAGCCAGTACAACCTATGGTTGCGGGGGCTTGGGTAATTTTTGTTCCTAGCCTGGGTGCACACACTTGGGCTCCCCACATTAAACAGACCTTGTGTCACAACCTGACCTTCTGGAGAGATGGGTCAATACAAATTACTATAAAGTAGAGGTGGAGCTTTTTAATGTCAGAATTTGTGGGAAAATTGAGCTCCAATTACACATTTATTCATATAGATTCCATAATATAGGTTTTACTTAATTAACTATTATGTTTCTCTAACTCTTCAAATGTTGAATGTATAACTAATTCTAATTTCTATTTTCCCATCTTTACACTATATTAATTTTATCTTATAAATTGTCCCCAGTTCTGTCATCCATGAAATAAAAATAATTGTTTGTACAGAAAATAAGGATGTATATACATCAAATCATCTTTAAATTAAGTGGTAGCAGAAGAGTTAGCATTGAACTTTTAAAAGGGAAGCTTAAACATTAATTCAATACTTAAATGCAGTGATCAATTTTGAGTTCTTCTGTAGTTTATTGATGCCTATCGCATCTACTCCTCCCTAGCTATTGTGATAATGGTCAAACCAAGGGTCCTCCACAGGAGCTAGCTTTTAAGTTAGTTTATAATAAAATGTGCACTGCAATTTTGGATACAAAAGAAAAATAAGAGTTACTGCCTTTGAACTATGAAAGCAATGATAATGGCTAGTATAATATATTAATATATATTTTTAAGCACGCATAATCTGGCAACCCTGAATCTGAGCTCAACAAAAATCGTTCCCTGCGCTTAACTTTTCTAGAGCTTTTGAATGAGCTATGAATCATTGAAATCAGCTCAGTGGGAGCAGAGGAGTTGCTTGGACACTTACACACACAAACATACACTTTACTTTATATACGATTCTTTACTTACCATTGCAAAATGTTTACTAATCAAAACTGAAAGCACAGCTACTGTTATCACTGGAACAGGTATGACTACAAGAGCAAAAGAGTGATTCTGACAAGTGGAAATCACTTTTTTAACTTCAGGTTACACTTTGGATTTGACAGAAGATCACATCAGTGTGTATGTTTTCTTTTATGCTTAAACAGTAGAAACCATCAATATTTATGGACAACAATGAGGACCATAAAGAAATTCATAATTATTCTGATTTCAAATTATACTTATTAACTAGTTATTTTATATTTAAAAGAAAAAAAAATACAAATAAACTTACTAATCCATTCCAACTGGTCCAGCCAGGGGGGACATGCTGGACACCTCCAACAGATTCTTTACCATACTGTGAAAAAAAGTAAATAAAAATTAAAAAGGGAAAAAAAAAATTATTATTGTATACCAAAAACATTAATTAACCATTTTTAAATAATTGAATATTTATTCTGTAATCTTAGAAATAGTTATCCTCTTTGAATAACAAAGGTGATCAAGAACTATTCTTCAGATTGTATATTTTCAATATTTTTTTTCTTGTTTTTATCTCTGGCTATTCAAAAAGTACATAGTTATAGCCAAATGGTTTATACCAATTTGAATATTTTGTGATTTTGTTGAAATAAATAAAAAGGCAAAAAAATGTCAATTACAATAATTACACAAATAAGAATATGACATTTGACAATTTATATCTGAATTTTCTTTTATTTTTTAACTTGTTAATAAAATGGAGCTTCAAGGTTTCTGATCTGTTGTATATGAATGAAAAATGTCACTGATGACACCAGAGTTTAAAAGTGAATCTCTAGACAATGGAAATGTAGACCACCATTTACTATAGAGATATCATGCCACAGACTGGGTGGTTACAATTAATTGTTGACTGTTGTGTTAACCCAGACGTTAAAGTCAGTGTCCTGTATTTCAAGACAAATTAGTACTTTTCTTAGCAGCTCTGCACGGTCATGTATTAACTGATAAGTAATCAATAATCTTTCCATTGACTCATTACTTCTTTGTTGTTAATGCATTTTAATTGCATTTGGTAATAAAATACTTTATTATTTTTACGCTGAAGTCTTTCTTTTATTACTTGTATTATGTATGTGTGATGGATTACAAAAGAGAACATTTTCATTAATTAAAACAAATAAAAAAAGAATTGTTGCATATCCATATTATCTGGACTTTTTCCACAATCATTGTAGTTTATAATACAACATTTCAGTTTATACATTCTTCAGACCAAATTCAACCAGAATAGATTCAAGACTTGCCAATTCCTTTACTATTACAACTAAAATGAGGTCTTAGAATCTGATTATGAGATTCTGTTGGACTGGTATGTTCTAGTTGAAAAAGAAACAAAAATATTAAGCAAATTTCAAAAGACTAGATAAAATATACAACCAACAACCTGAAAGCCTGAGTTAAGAAAAAACAAAAATAAAAAAGACAAATCATCCAAATAATGTAGAAAATAATAAAAAAACCTTCCTTTTAGAATTATGAAAATATAAACTGAATATTTCTACCAGAAAAGACAAGTGGTCTCCCTCACCCACAAATATTTCATCACTTAAAATGCTAAGTCCTAAACAACATTAACAGGTAAAGTAGTGAAAATGTCAAACTGCAAACAATGTCCCGCTTTTTGAAATTTGCACCGCATCTTCATTTTGTCATCTACACATTGTTATGACTAATACCTTTTTCATCAATGCTATTTGGTGTCTAAGGAACTCTAATGGTTCTGTTCTTTGCTGACACATAAAAACAAATGTTGTTATTGAAAGTGTTAAGTGATTGTTCCAAGTTTAAACTCAAACTTGTTCACACTGTTTGTTCCCCCACTCTGTTTTGAAATCATACAGACAAAAATTATTCTAAATAAATTAAACAATGCTTTTTAACAAGTAAAAGATTGCCCGGCAATGATGCATTGATAAGGCATACCTTATAGGAAATAAACACTACTTCTAACACAATTATATACCCCCCCCATGCATACCATATTAAAACATGCCCAAAATTTATTTTCTACTCAATAACAGACAATATTACAAAAAAGCCAAAAAAGATTCCACAATACAACACAGTTTAAATCAGTGTCTATTGGTTAGAATTTAACATCACCATGTGAAATATTTGACCAATTAAAGCCTTATTTTTCTTGAGCCTACTTTTATTAAAAATTTCTCATAAAAAGCCACAGATTTTGACTTTCAGAATAGAAATGCGGCTGTCTCCAATTCAAACCAAAGATTTGGCTACACAGCCTTTTCCTTCCCTCACAGCACATGCAAAAAAAAGTGTCAATGAGTTCAAATGAATCATCTCCAACAACTACAGCAGAGACGGTCAGTGAAACTTTGCTTACAATCATATGTTGGCAACTTCAAACAAATTATTTCAGACAGTCAAATTAAGTCAACAAAGACAGTCAATTAATTTTCAACTAATGATAAAAGTCTTTTCTATACTGCATCTTTTTACTGTTGTGACGTCACCCCGTTGCCTCTCTCCAAGCCCACCACCGTGCTATCCTGCAACGACCAATGTGACTTGGTATTGGTCGCGGCACCAAATGTGACGTTCTAACCTTTTGCTGATTCGGATGGGAATCTGGTTAGATTCAGTATCAGCCTTGTCGTTCCCAGCTCGCCTCCAACGTCTGGTTACTGAAGTAACTGCTTTGATTTCTAGTCTAACCTACCCACGTTGTGATTTGATCTTAGGTAGACGAAATCAATCAGTTGCCGGGCCGCAATGCAAGTCGAGTCCGAACAAGGGTAATACCGCACAAGTATATGTAAAAGAAAATAAAGTAACAACTCGAAAAGTTCAAATGTGTTAAAAAGAGAATAACAATATTTTATAGCTGGTTGCTGAATACAGAACTGCATCTTTCTCCCAAACCGCTAATATGGATTCGTGACACTTTGTGTTTGTTAGGCGAGTCTTAACATCTTAAGTTGTTTTTTTTTTAAGAAACTGGTTTTTGGTGTATCTTCAGGCGATATTCGTAAAACTTGTTTTGGTGGTGTGAGTCTAAGTCGTTCTTCAAAAATAAATTGTTCTTGGTTAGAAGTTGAGGTCGTGATTGCGTGGGATCTTTCAGTCAGCTTTCTGCGAGGTGGGTCTCAGAGCTCACAGCTCAACTCTGTCTGCGTCTGCCAACTGCGTCTGTGTTCCTCACTCTGCAACTGCTTGCCTGTCTTTTCAACCCCAACTGCCCACCTGTCTGTCGTCTACTTGCTGTGACTCTGCTTATATGGACGCCGACCAAAACCAGGGTGGGCTTGTCGGGGTTTGAGGTTCCTTGATAATTCTAAATCCACAATAAGGATCTTCTTTGTTCTCGGATAGGAAAATTTATTACTTTCCATTTTTGGAAGTCCTTACTTTCTACTTAAAGGGAATCGTCCTCCCAAATTCTTCCTTTCTCATATTGGTATCTCACACCAATCCCCTCAATGGGCGTCAACAGGTTCCCCCTCTCTCTCACAGTGGCATCTCACATCAATCCCTTCAGAGGGCGTCAACAGGCCTCCCCTCCTTCTTCAGAGTTTACCTTCGCCTACCGCTCACGCCACCCTTCGGCTAATGAACACTCAGCAGTGTGGGTGTTTGCAATTATCACTCAAAGAAAAAAAAAAAAAAATTATCTTCTTTCTTTTTTTTTTTTTCTTTTTCTTCTACGAGCAGACCTCACACAACTCGTAGGATGGTCCCTAATCTCTATCTTAACCAAATTTCATTTGGAATTTGTCAACGAGATTTTCGGCAAATAATCATTGAGGTTGGTCAATGATTTTCCGCACTCTGTCGCCAATTATCTGTTCCGATAAAAAAAATTTTTCTATCATGGCCAGCTCCGACATAAACAGATGTTTTTCCCAAATGATATATCCGAAGATAGTTAATGGTTTAATCTTTCCTTCTTCTTAACTTATGGGAAGTCCAGCTGACATTTATCTCGGTCAGAGAGTGACCTAATTAATATTATCTCTTAGCATTCTGCTTTGTAGGCCACTTGACCAATTTGAAATTTTCATTATTGCCATGGGCAGATTGGCTATCTTTTATTCGCTCTGTCGTAACATAAATCAAATTAAATTAAGATCCGAGATCTTACTTTCTTCGCTAATGAAAATAAAATCTTTACCACTTTTCTTTGTTAGAAAAATAACATAAAATAGCTTCTTATCACCTAAATTAATTCTCGCCTTTTTTTTTTTTTTTTTTTTTCATGCAACCCTAAATAGTGTCACACTGAACCAACAACCCAAAGAATTTAACTGAACTGAAGACTATTTTTTACTCCTTTTTAATTCTTGAATTTGTAAATACAAATGATTTATTTAACAGACATACCTACATATTTCTTTATTTTATCATGGTTTGGAATTCATACATTTTGATGTTTAATATAAAAAAATATGAACAACTGAATTTCCTACAACCTCACCTCTCCCTTTATCTTATTCAAGTCCTATAGCTTCAACATTGTCACTTTTATTTTTTTAACAGCTTATCAACCCATTTTGGGTTATTCAAAGCCAATACATTTTGAATTGTAAGAATAATTCTTTTTTTTTTTTTTTTTTTTTTTATTAACCAAGTGAATATTGCATTAACAATTTCTTGAGAATAACAATGATTTTTTTAAGATGCAAATTCTACTATTTAACCCATAATTGGGAGGCAGGGAGAGATTCATACCTTTCCTAATGGCATTTGCCTGCAAGAGAATGTAATGAATCAGAGTAGAATTTAAACTTTGCTTTCTGATTTCTCATTCTGAACTGCCATCCATTACACCACCTGCACATCCCCAGCTTTAAGAGAGGATAATAATTCCAGTATATTGGACACAGAAATATTTGCAGAATCTTTCTTTAATGTTCATCTTATACACAAACAAATATGTTATGTCAATGAATCTAATTCTGTAAACTGACTGAAAGCTAACTGTGCATACTCCCTTTTTAGGAAAGACTTCTGAAAAGTTCTCAGCCCAACAACTATGCAGAGCTATATTATGGTGATGGGAAAGTGACTTGAGCCAAGATGAGAAAAATTATTTCCTGATAGTTCAATGTTACAGAATGTAGAGGTTGGGCCAAGATCAAAAGAGTACAAAGTAAGCATAGAGACTCAAGAATTTTGAAGTGTTGACACATTTTTCGCACACAGATTCCATAGACAGGCTAAGGCTGCACATGGCAGAATGCCAAGCCAATGAGTGGGCATCTGTTCCACTGAAGTTCTTCATCCCACTACCTCCCAGAATTAATGCTACCACTTCTGTCCCTCTCATACAAGATGAATAAGAAAAAGAAACTATCTTTTGTTGACACAGACCATGAAGTGGCCATTGGAGTGTGGGGCTGAACCCAGTGATAACACAGAACATTTAGTCATGAGGTTGCACTGCTTTGGTCAATCTGATTCACTTTATATTACAGATATGCTTTCAGAAGAAAATTTTTAACAACTGTTAAAATGAGAGTTAATAAAAAAAAAATTATCAATTTGAGTGGAAAACCATTTAATGCTTAAACTAAAAAAAAAAAAACAAATAAATCGAAATGATTTAAAAAATCATAAGGCAACCTGGTGATTAGAATATCCAAAAATCTTAACTTGCATCTCTTCTCCCAGTATTGGGAATAAAATTAAAATCTTGTGTTAATATTAGCACTAAATATTGTTTCCAAGTAATTGCATCTATCTAAGATTATGCATTTGCATGCATACAGACACAATGGTATTTAACAAATGTACTGTCTTAACCTTATAAAGATCCAAATCACCATTGAACAAGGTTTAGATTCTCTGGTTATGAAAACAATACAATGATTATGAAATATTAAATAGTTTATCTTCAAATGATCCATAATTACAGAAACAAACATTTCAAATCAGTAGTAAAGCTATAAAAGATAATGGAGAGAAAAGAAAGGTTGAAAGCAAAATCATCTACAAACCTGGTTCAAATATTTTCCAGCAAAAAATGTCTTGTAGCCATTTTTATTGAGTTTGACTGGGAATAAGGTTGGCTCAAATTTCTTTTGCCAGGAGAGACTGCTACAGTTACCAGACAAAGAGTTATTCCAAACAAGATGGTTATGGACATACTGACCGGTGAGGATACTTGATCGGCTGGGACAGCACAATGGACTGGTCACAAACTGAATAAATAAAGGAGGTATCCATACAATTATGTAAATCAATAATGATAAAAAGTTTGTTATACTTTTTAAATGAAGCAACTAATTAATCAACTCTCTCATAAGAAGTTGAAATTAAAATCCACTTTACAAAAGTTATCCCTTTTTTTCTTTTTTAGCCATTATAATATATAAGTGAAGCATTTGATGTTTTTATAACTAGCAGTAAAGACTTTGAAGTAAAATCTTTAAAATGGGCACCCACTGACCAAAAGAGAATAAAATAAATAGATTTTGGGAACAAGTGCCACTTGGCTGGAAGTTAGAAAAATTCTGTTCATAAGTTTTTATAAACAGTCACAGTTAGAACAGAAGGTAGTTCTGATACTTCCAAGAGGCATTCATCAGAACTACCTTCTGTTCTAACTGTGACTGTTCATATAAGCCAATGAAGAGATTTTTTTAACTTCCAGCCAAGTGGCACTTCTTCCCAGAACTTTGCTTATTTTATTCACTTTTGGTCAGTGGGTGGTCATTTTGAAGATTTTACTTCATAGGCTTTACTGATTATTTTTTTTTGATCCTTGGTGTTCTCTTTGATTTTCATAATCATTTAAAAATGTTTAATATGTAAAATAAATTAATATGAACCTTCTGAAGTGATACTAAACTTTACAACATGCAAGAGGTATAAGAATGGCTTAATTTTAGCTGTTTTTAAGACCTTATTGCCAAATTTTTTTTTTTTCACCGAGATTGAATACTTCTGAAAAATTATTGCTGTGAAAATAAAATTATAATTTACTCATATTAATTCACATATTAAACTATTTTACTAATACTAATTAGGTAGATAAATATCATCAAATCAAATTTGGGAGCAGAACAAAAACATGTCAAATACTTTTTCCTATAAACTGACTTCTATGAAGAACTGGAAATTCCTTACAATAATCACTAACACCTTTAAACTAAATCAATGCTAAAAGCTGGAAAAGGTGCATCCTGTTTTGAGTAGGTGATGCATACTTACCATATTTGTGAACGTAATACCTGCATCTCCAATCAACTGCTTTGTTTTAGTTAAAGGTATCTTTAAAGAAAAAAATAAAATAAAATTCATATTTATTTTTGGAATTTCATGAATATAGTACAATTTAAATGACAAATAAAAGCTGATAGCTAACAACACATTACATAGTTAAATAGGATTAACCACATTCAGGCCAATGTCCTCATCTTTGTGTTGTTATCACGTTTCAGCTGTTGTGCTTGCCAATCTTCTTAAGGTGCCTATCAATTTAAGTAACCTTCAGGAAATTTTGAACTTTATTTAGACAATGGGAGTTGGTTGTCCATGTTTAAGAATATATATAATCTTGTCCTTTTTTTCAGAAATTGTTCAATTTTATAATGAAATTCACCCTGTATAAAGCCCAGGGGCCACTTGAGGTAGAAGGTTACAGAGAAAGAGGTAGTTTACATAGATATGTGGGGAAGATAACAGTTAACCCTAGACACAAACATGTTAAGATTGTAGTGATCAGGAAAACAACTTCTTGGGAATTGGTTCCCCAGAGCAGTTGTTCACAGGAAGAAGCTGCTTGAGTGGAACTTACTTCACACCAATGGAATACAGAGGGGGGGGGGAGGGTGGTTTGCTACAATGCACATAGCATGGAAGGTCCTAGCCATAAAAGTTAGAACTGGGAGAACCAAGAAATATATATCCAAACACTTTCCATGAAAGTAGCAATAGAGCAATAAGAGGTTTGCAACATCTCATCTGTGAGAGAGAGGAGATGCAGAGTAGAAAATAATTTATCACCCACAAGGATGCAGAGATGCTTTTGGGCTCTCAAGACTGTAAAGCGAGGACTGGCAGCTCCTGCTCAAATATAGCAGCAGTACTCCATTTTAGGCCTGATCTGGCTCTTGTAATGGTAGAGGATAGCCTGAGAAGTCAGGTACTTATTAAACCAGCACAGCGAACCGACCATTTTTCCTGCATCTTTAGTGATGGATCTAATGTACAAGTTCCACTTGAGGTCCGAGTTGAGTTTGAGGTCCAATAGCTACACAATTACTATGTTACCAAATTCATGAAACCGCTGTTTTAATCTTATTATATATTGGCCTGTGGAAATAGAGCTAGCAATAATTGAGAGTGGAATTAGAACAATCTATCTCTGTAGATTAAACAAGAGGTTCCATTTGAAATTCTCTGAAGCTTATCTGGATTAAGAGACATCTGAAAAGGGCCAGATAATACAAAGACCAAAATGTTATGACGGTAACAAAGATGACAGCATAATTCAAATTTAACTTTGGTAAATAATTCTAAATCCTTATCCCAGAAATTTAGATACAAATTATGCATGAAATTATACTCTTTTGAGTGTACAAAAAATGAATTACTACATTTTTGAACAACAGTTAAATGCCACAGTGAAATCAGAAAAAAAAAAAAAAAAAAAAAAAAAAAAAAAAAAAAAAAAAAAAGAGGATTATTAGCAAAGTCTCAAAAATAGCCACAAAAACTGCTTGTTTTCCTACATTAGATTCATTAAGACTATGAAAAATTCTGAGTAACTTTGTTAAAAAGAAGGCTAACACAGAAAAAAAAAAAAAATGCACAATCACAAAACACTACCACCGGCCAAGAAATCTATAAATAAATAAATGGCTTGTTTTGTTAAGATGTTGCAATAATAGTTAAGATGAATTCCAGTTGAAATTCAAAATCAAAGTGTCTGAGTCAGGTTTATAGTTTATTTTGGATTCTGTCAATGAATAAAAAGTTCCTTATTTGTTACTCTTGCTAGTAACACCAAATGGTGTTTTTTTAGCCTATACAGAGCAGCAGTTGCAAGCACTGAACAATACACCATGCATCAACTGACTTTTTAACAGGTTGGAATGCGAAAATAATATTAAATACAAATCAATTAACAGTTTTGAATTGACAATTTATTTCTGGAACTTTTGGCTATTTATGCTGTGCAAGTATCATGGATCTTTATAAAAAGAAAAAAAGTAAATAAAAAAAAGTCTGACCACTGAGAAAAAGATTTTTAAGTAAGTCAATGGTGACAAGTATTCTCAACGCACAAACCTGAAAGTTGCTCTGACAGTTTATACAATTATTCTAATGGGTTCTTTTATGCGCCATGTCCCTTCAGGATGTAGATGATCATGGTTCTCCACAACTTCCTGTCTTTTGCAGCACTAACTAAGGTTTGTCCCTTTTCTATCCCCCTCACAGTCTTTGTCCTTAAAACCATTTATTTGTCAAAAAAAAAAAAAAAAAAAAAAAAAAAGATTGCAGCCAAAATAAACAGTTGAAACTCATTAAATATGAGAGTGGGCCGACATTTGACTGCAGGAAAAGGGTTTATCCTCCAAGGACATTCATGTTGATATGGTTGCTATATTAAGGGATGATACCCCAGTTTTATCAACAGTGTAAAAGTGGCCAGCTGAATTTAGAAAGGAAAGAGAGAGTCTTGAAGATTACCCAAGGTCTGGATATCCTGCAACTGTCACCACCAAGGAAAACATTGATCATGTTCACCACATAGTGAGGGATGACAGGCAAATGACTATAGATTTAATAGCCAATTCTATTAACATATCCTGTGAGATAGTTGAGAATATTCTGCACAATGAATTTGGCATGACAAAAGTGGGTGCCATGTTCTTCTGACACCTGATCAAAAGTACACCAGACTGATCACATCACAGAAAAATCTAATATTATTTGAGGCAGATCCAGCCAATTTCCTTGAATGTTTCCTAACCCAGGATGAGTGTTGGGTTCATTACTTTGAGCCAGAGAGACAATCAATGCAATGAAAACATTCCTCCTCACCTGCTCCTAAGAAGGCTAAGATCATTTTATGTGTAGGGATGGCCTCAATTTTTTAGGATGCAAAAGGTATTGTGTTTATTGACTATCTTCAAAAGGACCACACAATCAATGGAGAGTACTATACTAGTTTGTTGAGACAGTAATGAAAGACTATCAAGACCAAATGCCCAGGAAAACTGACAAAAGGGGTTTTGTTTCATTAGGACAATGCTCCAGCACACAAGTTGTTGGTTTCAATGGCTGTTGTGCATGACTGTGGTTTTGAACTGGTTGATCACTCTCCTTATTCTCCTGATCTGACTATCATCTGTTCCCCAACATGAAGAAACATTTGGCTGGGGATAAGGACATCATATTTGCTGTTGACTTTTTTTACCATCAGGATGAACAGTCTTCTTTGAACAGTCAGTTTATCTGATAATGCAGTTATTAATAAGAGTTGAAATTAATGCATGCAAGATTTCACAGCTCTAGCATCACCCCTTCATAGTCTGCCTATGAACTTTTCACCTAACCCTTGTAGATGAAAGAAATTGAATTTTCATTAGTTTATTATATATTTATACTAAACATTGCATGATTAGATAGCATGAAAAGATTCTCAACTTTATATACTTGAATGACTTGCAACCAAATTTACTAAAACTAAATTTCATTGAGTTGGGTTATCAGAAGCAAAACAGAAATTTATTAATGCATATGAAGATGAATACATAAAAATATTAAGAGAGCGTGAGTAACTTTATAAACTAGATTTATCAAGTTTAAGTTGAATTGCCATGAGGTCATAAATGTGGGTTGCTCAGTGAAGATCAAACCCATGACATTAGTAAATGCTTGGCTAGCTTGCTAAACACAGGTCCACAGCAATTATTCATGAACACTATGTTTTTATCATTTATTTTAGGTAACACAAAATAAGTATGCCTAGAGGTATATATCAGACACTACCAACAAAATACATCCAATGTCTGTAATGAACTTGTTCAAAACAAGACTCGCATGTGTCATGATAGTTTAAAATGAGTAGGTCACCATGATTCCATCTAAATTTTCTAAAATCCTAACTGCCAATTAAGATATTAAGTTTAAATATTATTTGTTTACATTTTTAAATGGCTTACTTTATTGTTGTTGTTGCTGTTTTTTTTATGATTTTTTAATGGATCTGTTCTACAGTCATTATACAAAAGGATAAGAATTTGAAACAAAGAACTCAAAAAGAACAGAATTTACTTTTTAACAAGTGATGTTTAATAAACTTTAACTGATACAAGACTATGGATATAGAGTAGACATTAAGGACTGAAATCATTTCAGTAATAATAGTCTGCAAAACTAGCCTGTTAACCACTACTCCATGAAAAGGTACCCACTTTTACGCAATATTTAAATCTTACTATAAATGACAATGAAAAATACTCATCATCACATCTGTTTAAATTATGATAGTGCAGGACTTCATAAGAATAAAACTTGATAATGAAATTTTAAAAATGTTTTTGTTTATTGAGTCTAATATTGAGGACAAAGGCAATATTTTCAGTATATTATGCATTAAGAAATGTAAAAATCTACACAAAAAATGAGAGTTTATGGAGAAGAAACTGTGAATGAACAAATGTGTCAAAAAGGGGTTTGCAAAGTTTCATATAAGAAGTTCTTTACTGAAAGATGATGCAATAGGTTAGCTGAGGTTGACAACAGTCAAATAATGATATTACTCGAGAATAATCAATGTTATACAATGTGGGAGGAAGGCCAATATATTAAAAAATATCAAACTCAAGGATTGGAAATCACTTTCACCAATTTACATATAAAGTGTCATTTGATCAAATGATTTTAAATAGAACTAATCAGTGTCTTTCTATTTTATGTGAAAAAAAAAAAGAAAAAAACTGAAGGTATAAGCAAACTGAAAAGAAAAGTAAAATGACCCAAATGAAAGACAAGATCATAAACACATGGGTGAGGGGGTGTTGCATGGTGACTGAGATAGTTGCATTATTCTCCCAACAGTGCCAGTGGCTAATGTTTGAACCCAAGTCAGGGATATAACAACTTAATTTCCAAGCTAGGCTGATCCTAACTTGTAATGATTGACATATCATCATCCAATTATTCCCATTTGGTCTTGTGCTAGACGAGCTAAAATTAATCAATATATAAAGAGAAAAATAACTTAAAACATATGCTATTGTTTCAGATTTTGGTTTGAA